TGTCTCCGACTCAGTGAAATATGAATAATCTCGTTTGGTGCGCAAATCGATCGCTCCACGAGTGCTGGGAACGATCGCCAGTGAACTAGGAAAAAAAAAAAAAAAAAAAAAAGAAAGGAAAAAAATAACATTATGCATCTCTGAGTGTAATGGCATCGAGGCTAAATCCGGACTAGGAATAATATAACATCGAATGGTATTATCATACAATGACAACGTTTTGTCGCGCGCGCACGCATGCAACCTATAGTTTTGCGCGAGGCATTTTCTCTCGGATTGGCAAATCGTCGCTCGCTAGACGGACAATCGCGCTTAGGAAATTACGTCCTCGAAAGAGCGTGCGTGGATGAAATATTAATCCGATTACCGATTCACCAGTAATCGCCAGACATCAGAACAGATTCTTCAATCGTTTCAATTTACCGCGACAAATCCTTTCCCGTCGCATAAGTAAAGCTCTCTCGCGCTTAATGAAAATCTTTCCGAAAACGTCAAGATACGTTTCTGCATTTAGGAGACGTATCTTTCGGAAATAGCGAACTTTCTCTGAATTGAAAATTTCCCATCGTCTGCGAAATCGATATTGTCAACAGGAAAATTGTATCGAGCGCAGAGTTTCTTTTTCTTTAATCTTCGAGATTTTGAATTACTAATTTCTCCGACGCAAGCGCGGGAGCGATGGAAGAACGGAGGACTCGATGTTCGCTTCGAGAAACGCTCTCGCGGACGAGAAAAGCGCGGAATAAATAAGCGTGATCGTTAAGAGAAGCAAACAGCCGGCGGCGGCGGCGGCGGCGGCGGCCGCGTCTCATGGGAAGTCAAGGAGTAATCGAAGAAAATGATTTAAGCGAGCCGAGAGGGGATACGCGCCTACGCACGCATTCAGCACACGCGTGAACACGCACGCACGCACGCACGCACGCACGCACGCACGCACGCACGCACGCACGCCCGCACGCCCGCACGCACGCACGCCCGCACGCCCGCACGCATGCACGTACGCATGGTACCGGGAATCAATTCGAGACGCATATTGCGACGTTTATGCGCGTTTATGTACATTTACGCTCGAACGTACTTGTGGCAAATCAGTGCTCGAAGACAAAGAATACGGCTGAGAAACTTATTTGACGCACCTTGGCAACAATTAGAACCTGTACAGCCGTGTGAATTCTATTAAACGAAGAAAGGAAAAGAAATAACTGATGTGACGTTTTCTTGAAAATATAAAGAAATTTAAATACTTTTGTTTCCTTCATAATTACAACCGCAAAATTTCCCGAGGTTTTATGATATATACAAGTTATAATTACAGTGACCATACGTTCTTTCTTTTAAAGACTTTTATTTCAAATAGCTGTTCTTTAGATTTATTTAAAAGATTTTTCTCAATTTTTGTCTTTTATGAAAAATTCTTTTTTAATTAGAGTCTCAATGTACTAATGTAGTACTATTTACTTAAATTAAAAAG